CGCACACGATTCGCATTGCAATCGAGCCAACGACTAATTGAGCCTTGCCATCAAATGATAGCAATTGCAGCTTAACGGAAACGGAACCCATACGACAGATTTGCCAGCTTTGATAGATTTATCCAGTTTCGGCAGTTTTCGATTGCGAATAATAACTAATATTTGTTTGAGCTACGAATTGCATGCGCTACATGCGTGCTGCCTGCTAATCTATGCAGCTTAAATATACTTTGCAAATAATTGTTGAATATTTGATTCGTGACGCTCCCTTCAAGTAGTAGCTGGCTTTGCCTTCGTTTTATTCAATTGCGTTTTCGATTTTGTTTTCTGTTGAGCGCCTTGAGCTGGATAATTCGTGTGTCGCTCTTTCGACGCGTTTCGTTTAGGGAGAGGCACGTTTGGCTTTCGCACTCAAAAAGTCAATGCAAACGCTCTTCACACTCACACTCACGCAACTCTCTCACATACACAAATACATGCATAAACGTCTTTTTGCTTAAGTCAACGGGCAACAAGCAGAGCGAAGGAAAACAACAACGACTCATAACCGATCACGGACGAGCTCGTAAAGGAAGCAACGCAATCGGTTGCTCTTTGATTTATTTCCTTAAGTGCGAATTAAAGAGACTTATTAGCAGACATCAACAAACGGTTAATAATTATTTAGCTGCATCTTATCTATATATGTTGCCCTGAATATACATTTCAATAATACATAGATAAGTAATCGCTGCTCCAATCAGAGCTCTTTTCTCATAACTTGTGCCTATTTTATGTAATTTAAATAGAAATAAAATACATCGTACATATTCAAGCAGTTTATAATTAAGCTTAGCTTATATACTTATGCATTCTCTCATTTGCTCTGCTGCTGCATAGTTGAGTGTGGATTGCTAATGCTGCTGCTGTTCCTAATGAGGCTGTTGGTTGATATTATCTTATTATTATTGCAGTCCAGTGTCTGTGTGTGAGTGGGTGTATGTGAGCGTGCTTCCCTTCTTTACCCACTGCTCCTGTTTGCCTGTCTGTGTCTGTGTTAGTCTCTAGCTCATTAGTCGCCATCGGCAACTGACGCCCTCTCGCTCTTTCCTGCCCAGCCTGATCTGTGCTTCGGGCGATTGTAGCTTGAATTGCGCTGTATACATAAACACATTTAATTGGTGTCTCTATTAAACTTCGCCTCTGCTTGACGATGTGCATATAAATTTGAAAATCAAGGAGTATTTATGTGCTACAAGTCTTTAAGTGTATTGTATTTGATAGTTATCGAAATATATAATTTCTTATCGAAAGATGACTTGCTTGATTGTTGATGATTTAAAATATATTTAACAACTTACATAGTATTCAGTCTTCGGCATTGATGTGCTTTAGCACAGTCTCATAAATAATTATAAGCCTATGCCGTTTATTTAGCGAGAAAACTATGTTCAACTTTTCCACAAGTATCAGAGATGTACATTCCATAGAGTGTTATATCATTCAGCTTTTGTCATGCAGTCTCTGAGCATTTAGCTTTGCCATAACTTCGCTAGGAGACCTAAAATAACTGAAGATCAATATTTACACAAGATTCATATTCAGTCGCATTGGTGTACCTTCCGTCGAGTCTCATAGCATGCAGCTTTCGTCATGTATCTGCCGTAACTCAAGTTCAAGTTTCAAGTTTCCAGTTTCGTTTTTGTCACATTTACTTCGAAGAGTTGTGAATAGCTTCATATGTATATAT